AGAGAGAGTGTGCGTGTGTGTGTGGGAGGGAGGGAGAGAGAGTGTGCATGTGTGTGTGGGAGGGAGGGAGAGAGAGTGAGCGTGTGTGTCTGGGAGAGGGAGAGAGAGTGTGTGTGTGTGTGGCAGGGAGGGTGAGGGAGTGCGCGTGTGGAGGAAGAGAGAGGGAGACAGCGCGTGTGGAGGGAGGGAGAGGGAGAGAGCATGTGCGTGTGTGTGTGGGGGAGAGGGAGAGAGAGTGTGCGTGTGTGTGAAGGAGGGAGAGAGAATGTCCGTGTGCATCTGGGAGTGGGAGAGAAAGTGTGTGTGTGTGTGTGAGGGAGGGAGAGAGAGAGTGTGTGTGAGGGAGGGAGAGAGAGAGTGCGTGTGAGGGAGGGAGAGAGAATGTCCATGTGCATCTTGGAGAGGGAGAGCGCGTGTGCGTGTGTGTGTGGGGGAGAGGGAGAGAGAGTGTGCGTGTGTGTGTGGCAGGGAGGGAGAGTGTCCGTGTGTGTGAAGGAGGGAGAGAGAATGTCCGTGTGCATCTGGGAGTGGGAGAGAGAGTGTGCGTGCGTGTGTGAGGGAGGGAGAGAGTGTGTGTATGAGGGAGGGAGAGAGAGAGTGCGTGTGTGTCCGGAAGAGGGAGAGAGAGTGTGCGTGTGTGTGTGGGAGGGAGGGAGAGAGTGTGTGCGTGTGTGTGAGGGAGGGAGGGAGGGAGAAAGAGTGAGTGTGTGTGAGGGAGCGAGGGAGCGAGGGAGAGACAGAGTGCGTGTGTGTGTGTGGCAGGGAGGGAGAGAGAGAGTGTGTGTGTGTGTGTGGGAGGGAGGGAGAGAGTGTGCGCCTGTGTGTGGGAGTGAGGGAGAGAGGGTGCGTGTGTTGGAGGGAGGGAGGGAGAGAGAGTGAGCGTGTGTGTGAGGGAGGGAGGGAGAGAGTGTGTGAGGGAGGGAGGGAGAGAGTGTATGAGGGAGGGAGGGAGAGACAGAGTGCGTGTGTGTCTGGGAGAGGGAGAGGGAGTGTGCGTATCTGTGTGTGTGGGAGGGAGGGAGGGAGAGTGAGCGTGTGTGTCTGGGAGAGGGAGAGAGAGTGTGCGTGTGTGGAATGTGGAGCTTGTTCAAGGAACAGCCACTGCGTGTCCTTGAGAAGTATGGACCTGTCAGGCAGGGAGGAAGTGGTCGAGCGAGGGAACCGTGGTTTACTAAAGAAGTTGAATCTCTTGTCAAGAGGAAGAAGGAGGCTTATGTAGAGATGAGGCGTGAAGGCTCAGTTAGGGCGCTTGAGAGTTACAAGTTAGCCAGGAAGGACCTAAAGAGAGAGCTAAGAAGAGCCAGGAGGGGACATGAGAAGTCTTTAGCAGGTAGGATCAAGGAAAACCCTAAAGCTTTCTATAGGTATGTTAGGAATAAAAGAATGACTAGAGTAAGATTGGGGCCGGTCAAGGACAGTCGTGGGAAGTTGTGCGTGGAGTCCGAAGAGATAGGAGAGGTGCTAAATGAATATTTTTCGTCAGTATTCACACAGGAAAAAGACAATGTAGTCGAGGAGAATACTGAGATACAGCCTATTAGACTAGACGGGATTGAGGTTCATAAGGAGGAGGTGTTAGCAATTCTGGAAGGTGTGAAAATAGATAAGTCCCCTGGGCCGGATGGGATTTATCGGAGGATTCTCTGGGAAGCTAGAGAGGAGATTGCAGAGCCTTTGGCTTTGATCTTTATGTC